GTGTGTGTGTGTGTGAGAGTGTGTGTGAGTGTGTGTGTTTCCTGGGCTGACAGATGAGCTGTGTGAGCTGCTCTGTCTGTTGCTGTGATCACACTCAGCTCATTAACATTCGACTGACACACTCATCATTCAGCCACAGACACACACACTATACTCACACACTGATACACACAAACACACACACTGATACACACACACACACACACACACACACACACACATTGATACACACACAACACACACACGCACACACACACACACACACTGTCAGACATGTGTTCAGAGACAAGAGCTTGTGGGGGCGGGACCTTGATACCTCGGCTCCACCCCACGATTACTACTGCACAGACTCTGACTGTAAATGACGTCATCCCCACAAGATGGCAGCGTTTCTCACTCAGACAGAGTCAGTGCAGGCTCTGGACCAGAACCTGGTTCAGGCTCTGGACCAGAACCTGGTTCAGGCTCTGGACCAGAACCTGGTTCAGGCTCTGGACCAGAACCTGGTTCAGGCTCTGGACCAGAACCAGGTTCTGGTCCTCTCACATCTTGACGACTGCACCTCCTGGCTGTCTACCTGCTGATGTATCTGACCGCTCCCTCCTGTGACCAGCGGCTCTCGTCCTTGAAGCTCATGCACTGACATGATTCCTGTTGATTGTTCCCTGATGGTCGATGCACTTTCTGTGAGTCGCTCTGGATAAAAGCTTCAGCTCAATGAAAAGTGATTTAAAGTTTGAATGTGAGATATTTTAGCTCCATTTCAGGAAGTGGAGACAAATCTCCATCTTTGATTCCAAAGTCAGTGAGAAATGACAGAATCGTCACCTCTGCTGTGACATCAGACTCTGACTCCGTCTCCAGCTGTTTATTGAGTCCAGATGTGAACGTGTTTGTAAAGCCTGGACGTCTGGACAGTGTTTGTGGATCTGCTGCGATCGATCAGGACGCTCTGACACGGAGGGAACACTGACTGATGATCAATACATGATTGTTGTGTCAGCTCGCTGTCGACTGAAGGCTCCCCTGATACCGAACACTCAGAGGAGTGGGGGGGATCTTTACCAAAATAAAAGCTGTGAAACTCTTCCCCAGCGTTGTTAGAATCTGAGCCGGCCCTCGTCACATGTTTCTGGGTGAAACTGTGTGTGAGGACAGCGTCTGTCCTCCATGTCCCCACACTTCATCTTCAATAACATTGACTCCGCTGCTATGAGTCTTAGAGATGATAAATCTAGAGATGTGTGTAAATGCTGCTGGTCCCGTTTTAGTTTGAAAACTCAGAGGCTGTGTTTCAGATTGGATGACCATAAACTGAGATGTGTGGAAACGATGAGGTAGACGCTCAACCTCTTGCTGATTGGTTCTTTTCAGTCTTCTCAGCCTCCAGAGTAGAAACAACATGGAGACTCAAAGAGTTCCTGTGGTTCAGTTTGATTCTGTGTTTCACTACGATCCAGCTTCAGAGAACGTGATCCAACGAGTCAGAACGAACTGAACCTCGTCAGGAACGACTCATAGATTTGATCAAAAGTTGTTTTTCACAGCTTCTCGTTTTAAAAACTTCTGTTGGTGCCTGAAGATGGGTTACCATGGTGACAGAGCAGTGAGTGTGAAGAGTGATGAATCTGAGTCTTCGTCTGTTTGAGTCTTCGTCTGTTGACATGATTATCCTGAGAAACATCTGCAGAAGAAACACAACTTCTCTGTGTTTAATGGATCTTTATGGAGAAAAATACAAATGTACTCATTTTATTAAACAACTACACAAGTACACAAGTATTTTTACAAAAAATGAACAGAAGAGTTTCTGTTTCATATCTTCAGTTTGAAAGTGACTAAACAAACATTAACTCTGGTTTATTCGTTGTTTTATGTTTTTGACTTCGGGTCGTTAAAATTTAATCGCACTAATTGCAGAGATGATGGCGAGCATGTAATCGCGTGCTGAGCGAGCTCCCAGGAGTCCCGGCGGTTCCCGGTAAAACAGCATCCTGATGCTGCTGATTGAAGAAGCTCCGTTCAGGAGGAAGCTGAAAGCTAATGGAGCCACAGCAGCTCATTTATTACACAGTGGGGGGGGGGGGGTAATAATGTCAGGCAGCATTTGACTGAACCTCAGAGGAAACTACTGACTGGACTGATGATGACGACTGACAGCAGGACTTCCCTTGCGCTCCTGTTTGTGAGGACTATCATGTTGTCCATGAACTGAGGCCTGGACGTGTTCCCGACATGTTCCTGACAAGTTCCCGACATGTTCCTGGCATGTTCCTGACAAGTTCCCGACATGTTCCTGACATGTTCCTGACAAGTTCCCGACATGTTCCTGGCATGTTCCTGGTGTGTTCCCGACATGTTCCCGACATGTTCCCGACATGTGTTCACAAAACACAGGTTCTCCTGTGGTTCTAGAGTCTGTAAGAGGAGAACAGGAGGTAGAACCTTCAGCTACCAGGCTCCTCTCCTGTGGAACCAGCTCCCACTCTGGGTTCTAGAGTCAGACACCATCTCTACATTTAAAGTTAAATTAAAATGTTCCTCTTTGATAAAGTCTAAAGTTCTGGATCAGGTCCTGAACCATCACTTAGTTATGCTGCTATAGGTCTAGACTGCTGGGGGAACTCCCATCATGCACTGAGGGAGAACTCCCATCATGCACTGAGGGAACTCCCATCATGCACTGAGGGAGAACTCCCATCATGCACTGAGCACTTCTCCCCTTCTCTCTGTCTCTCTGCCCCCCCACATTCATTTATTTATTTTAATACATGTCAATGACTATTTCACTTTCTACCCATAGTCTCTCTCTCTCTCTCTCTCTCTCTCTCTCTCTCTCTCTCTCTCTCTCTCTCTCTCTGACTCCAGAACCTCAGGGGAACTTTTACCATTATTATTATTATTAACACAATATCTCAGTAATTCATTATTATATGAATTGTGACTGTTTTCAATAATAATCAATAAGTTCTTTACACTGTTGTTTACATTTGAACCAGTCAGATCTGATCCCTGATGGTGCTCCAGTGTTCCTCTCTCCCCTCTCTCCCCTCTCTCTCTCTCCCCTCTCTCTCTCCCCCCTCTCTCTCTCCCCCTCCTCTGGTTGAAGCTCTTCACCTTCTTTGTCAAGAGTCTTGAGATCATGGATATTAGGATTTGCTGTTATATACAAATCCAATTGAAATGAATTGAAAACATCTGGAAACTTCCCAGTGAGTGAGTGGACGTGTTGAGGAGGTTTCCAACAAGTGACAGACGTGAAACAATATGTTATTTGTACCTTCACCACTAGAGGTCACTTAATATCTCTCTTAACATCTTCAGGTGTCGTACACGTGAATATAGACACGTACACAAGTTCACGAGACTAAAGGTCAAAGGTCGACAAAGAAAAAGCTTCACTGGGTTTCTGTCTCTGTTATTTTCAGGGTGTTTAAGAAGGCGAGTCCCAATGGAAAGGTGAGTCCTGATGTTCTCACGTTAATGGAAGGTTCTGTATTCTGATTGGCTGCTCACACTTCAAGCAGCTGATTGGACAAAGTGACAGTTGTGTTCTCCCCTCAGCTCACCGTCTATCTAGGGAAGAGAGACTTCGTGGACCACGTGGACCTGGTGGAGCCCGTCGGTGAGATCACTCTTTCATTCTCAGGGCTCGTACTCAGGTACCATCCTCCCCGTCTTCTGTCTGGTTGATGAATTTCGGGTTATTGTTCTTCTGTAGATGGAGTCGTCCTGATCGACCCGGAGTACCTGAAGGAAAGGAAAGGTGAGAAATCTGAACCCACACTTTACCATGTTGGTTGAAATGGTTGGTTTGTTCATCTTTGCTCCAATTTGCACGAAGAGAATGTGTATGGACCAATCTTTGTTTATTTGTTAACTTTGACGTCCTCCTGGTGGCTGACTCAGAAAACTGCGCTTTTAACACAGGAGACATTTTCCTCTGAAACAATTTGTCCTTTGACTCTGTGACCTGTTCAATCCCACCGTGATGAAGTTGTTGTACCACAGAAACTTGTAGGTTCTTCGTCTCACCCAAGATTCAGTTGGTCCAATATCTATATTCACTTTTATGCTAATGCGATTCTATTCTATCTTTATCTAAAGTAAAATAATTCGAACTGAGATCAGAGACACAGGAGGAATAGTTCCAGTCTGAAATGCAAACACATACATGGGTGAGGTTTACGTTTGGTTTTATTTTTGCTGTTGTCTTGTAATGTTCACGAGTTCCCCATTTCTTTATTAGTAATTTGTGGAGTTGCACTCGGAAGCGTCCAGGAGCCCTTGCTCTTTATCATTTAGTAAGTCTAGGATGTGCTTAGCCTAGCTTAGCACAAAGATCCTCACTCCATCAAAATAATTCTCAAAGTTATTGTAACAGAAAAGAATTGTGTGTCTTTTCTTCATCAGTGTTTGTGACTCTGACTTGTGCGTTCCGTTATGGTCGTGAGGATTTGGACGTCCTTGGGTTGACATTTCGTAAGGACCTGTTTGTGGCTAACATCCAGGCGTTTCCTCCACTGCCTGAGGAGAAGAAGAGCCTGACTCGACTTCAGGAGCGCCTGATTAAAAAGCTGGGAGAACACGCCTACCCCTTCACCTTCGAGGTATCGAGTCAGCAGAGCTCCACCCACCCCAGAGGGGATGATACTAAACCCGATTATCACAAATCAATACTTATATTATAGAACCTGTTTTTCTTCTAACTCAGACAAAAGTCTTCAAATCAGATGATTGTCACTTCATTCAAAATGTTATTAAGGAGAAAAACTGTGTTTTATCTTATCGATAGAAGGTTCAGACAACTCACTGAAAAAGTACTTCATTACTTTACTGATCACACGTCCTTTATGTTGAATACGTGAAGTTTAGCATTAGCCTTGTTGTGCCTGAGGAGGTCGGGGGGGCAGCGGCCCTCAGAGGAAGGATATGTTGAGTCTGTGAACTGGATTTAATTTATATGAGAAACTGCAGCTCATGATTCCAATAGTCTTTTTTTATGTGAATCGGCTTTAACTGTTGATGAGCTGAGTTCTGGAGCTGCTAACAGGAAAGTCCTGATTTGAAGAAGGAAAGAGAAGAGACTGCTCTTCCTAAATTTACAGATAAAGTAATGTATGTAATGTAATGTTTGATCATGTGTGATATCAGCAGCACAGAGGATTTGTGTGTTTGCAGATTCCTCTGAATCTGCCGTGCTCCGTCACCCTGCAGCCGGGACCCGAGGACACCGGGAAGGTAGAGACTAAATATAATGTTGTATTTAAATGAACTAACATCAGTTCTGACGCTCAAACGTTTTCTCTCTGACCTCAGGCCTGCGGAGTCGACTTCGAGGTGAAAACTTTCTGTGCAGAAAACGTTGAAGAAAAGATCCACAAAAGGTAAAAGTGAGTCCGACCCTGGCGGAGCAGAGGGATGAATTATGAATGAAAGTGAAATGAGTTGTGCATTAGCAGCTTCCTGCAGAGAGAGAGGGGATCACCTCACCACCACTAAAACCACCATAATCCAAACATCCACACTGAATTTAAATTTCCCTCGGGTCATAGAATCCATACGCACACGGCACCATCGCTCAATGTCCCGAGGGTTAAATGGTAACCAGGCGCTTTGTCGTAGGAACTCTGTGCGTCTGGTGATCCGCAAGGTTCAGTACGCTCCAGAGAAACCTGGTCCTCAACCCACAGCAGAAACCACCAGACAGTTCCTGATGTCAGACAAACCTCTGCACCTGGAGGCGTCTCTGGACAAAGAGGTGAGCGTCCTCACCAGAGACTGGATATAAAATATAGAT